AAAACTTGGAAAACAAAAATAATTCTACCTTAATTCAGTTTGATTTCCCACCTGAAGAAACGTTAGTTTTTTAACGTTGAAACAAGATCTACAGTTTTGTAGTGGGTATGTACATTTTCTAATGTGACACTGCATAATAAATAAATATTTATTGCTCTACTTGAGCATTGAGCCCTATTTTATAGTAATGTTTGAACGCTGAAAACTTACTCTTCGTTCTTTTACATATATATATATATATATATATATATAAAACAACTAACATTTTTTATATGTTTTTGATATTTCAGATCGACCTCGATCTTTCTTCAGAAATAACTGTTACAAATAAATTAAAATTAGAGGTCGATCTGAAATATCAAAACTACATATAAAAAAATATAAATAAATACTTTCATAAAAAAAAAACATTATTATTTTTTAATTTGCAACTTTTTAGTTGTTTTTTCTATATATACATGTTAAGAAAGTATACACGGCTTCTCATTAGGCTATATAGATATATGTATTATGAAATGGACAAAGTCCGACAATTATTTTAAGACATTTTTATGTTTATACATTCTTTTTATAGATACAAATATTAAAGTAAATGCTCTGTTCATAATAAACAGTTTTAAACAACATTTACCGGCCTGAACGTCCGAGAAATTTTCATTGAAAATATTCGTCCTCCGACAGGAATCGAACCTGTATCGTATACGGAACCGTCATATAGCCTAACGTGCCTTTAACCGATTCGTCCATGAGCAGATATGAATGTACGTGAGAGAATCATGGAAGATTGTAGTTTACAGGCAGTACAATCGACCTTGCTAACCGAACGCTACTATCAATAAGAGATTTTTTTGAAAATTTCTGTTCGCATTATATTTTTTCGTCTCGGATATATATATATATATATATATATATATATATATATATATATATATATATTCAGGGGCAATGGATTAATTGTCGTGTAAATGACGCAAAAATGATAATAACACTGACATCTCATTTTAACAGATATATTTACCAAAATTACACAACAATATCTTAAAGTAGTAAGAAGTAAATTTATTCAATAAAATTACTATTGGCCTCAATCATTCCCTCCATAACTCTTCAGGATCTCCTGCAACTCTTCTGGACGGTCTCCTTGTTTAAGATGGTAAATGCTGCTATAATTCTTGTCTTCAATTCATCTTTGGTGTTACAAGGAGTTTGCTTGATCGCTTGCTCAACTGCGCCCCACACATAATAATCAAGAAGCGTGCAGTCTAGGGAGTTAGGTGTCCAGATGCAAGTGTTAATGCGGCCGCAAAAATTGCCTGACAGCCATGACTGGGTTCTCTTGCTTTTGGGACATGGTGCATAGTCCTGTTGCCAGACAGTAGCTACCATCTTGACCCAAGGCAGAAGGCATCCGTGTTGAATATGAGACTCTCACCAACAAATTCGTTTAATAATTTTTTATCATTTCTATTTTGATCTCTGATGAAGCTTTTCCTACCATTTTGTCGGATTCCTATCCATACTCGATATATATATATATATATATATATATATATATATATATATATATATATATATATATATATATATATATATATATGGGTACCTCGAGGCGTTGTAATGGTTAGCAAGCTTGTCTCGCTAGAACAATTACCACTGAGTGGTGAGTTCGATTCTCACTGGGTGCCCCCTACTTTCGGCCTTGTGTCATATCTGAGCTACGCTTGAAAAATCACTACATATATATATATATATATATATATATATATATATATTATGTTGTGGCTGCAACGGATAAATTGTCCTCTAAATGACGCAAAAATGAAAATAACACTGACATCTCATTTTAACAGATATATTTATCAAAATTACACAAAGATATCTTGAAATACTAAAGAGTAAATTTATTCAATAAAATCGCCATTGGCGTCAACTACGGCCTCCAGACGACTTCAGAATGTCCTGCAACTCTTTAAGTTGGTGAATGCTGCCATAATCCTTGCCTATAAGATGTAAAGGGGTGATGTGGTTACAGAAATTGTTTGACTGCCATGATATCTCCGGCTTGTGTGGTATAGTGTAGAGTTGCCGGACATAGGGTCTTCTAGCAGCCACCCTCTTGACCCAGGCCAACACTAACTCGTAAAGACACTTGAGGTAGACCTTTGTGTTGAGTCTGCAGTCCTGTGGTAAGATGAATGGAGGCATAACGTCTCCATCACTAATAGTCACTCTAAACAATATGATGAGGACTAGATATATCATCCAAATCTTTCCGAATCCTCTGCATTCTCCTCAGATTGACAACCAAAAACTCTTGAAATATTCGTATTGAAACTTCCGGCGCGAATGCCGAATAGTGTAGCATGCAGTTTCCAATATACAGTTATAATTATTTAACGAAACCTATCTTAATGAAAATATGCTGCCGAAATATACGTATATATATATATATATATATATATATATATATATATATATATATATATATATATACGTATATTTCGGCAGCATATTTTCATATATATATATATTGAACAATAAAAAGTATTAAAAAATTAAAATCTTCAGGCACACTGTGTTGTAGATTAATATTCTTTCGTTTTTATTATTATTATCATTTCATTTAGATTCCTCGACTAGTTTCGGCCAACATGGCCATCATCATGAGAAGAAATATTTCTGCTTGCTGGTAGCAGTGAACTACAGAAATGAATGTCTTGATGGATATATATATATATATATATGTGTGTGTGTGTGTGTGTGTGTGTGTGTGTGTGTGTGTGTTGTGGGATAGATAGATTGTCGTTTAAATTACACAAAAATGAAAATAACGCTGACATCTCATTTTAACAGATATATTTATCAAAATTACACAAAAATATCTTGAAATACTAAAGAGTAAATTTACTCAAATAAATCGTTATTGGCTTCAACCATGGCCTCCCAGATGACTTCAGGATCTCCTGCATCTCTTCTGGGTGGTCTCCTTGTCTAAGTTGGTGAATGCTGCCATAATCCTTGCCTTCAGTTCATCTTTGGTTTTACAAGGAGTTTGGTTGGTCTCTCACACACCTGTGCCCCACGCATAATAATGAAGGGGGTTGCAATCTGGGGAGTTAAGTGTCCAGATGTAATGGGGTGATGTGACCGCAAAAAATGTCTGACATCCATGACTGGGTTCTCTTGCTTGTGTGGCATGGTGCATAGTCCTGTTGCCAGACAGAGGATCTTTCAGTAGCCACCATCTTGACCCAAGGCAACACTACTTCTTCAAAGCACTTGACATGGGCCTCCGTGTAGAGTCTCAGTCTCTGTGGGGAGGTGAATGGAGGTATAACGTCGCCTTCACTAGTGATCCCCCAAAACACTTTCCTAATCACCATTAGACTCGTCCAACTCTTTCTGAATCCTCTGCACTGTCCTCAGATTGACAAGAAAAGACTTTGAAATATTTCTACTGGAGCTTCTGGTGCGAATGCCAAGCAGTATAGCATACGTTTTCCCAATTTCTGGCGTAGTTAATTTTGTCATGGTGATCTTTTTCTAACAGATCGTGCCCAACTGACCCTACTTTACTGTGCTGTCGACAAAATAAAAAAGAGCGAAATTAAAAATATAAAATGACTACAATTTACTCTATCTGTCTATATTTCTGAGATGAGGTATTATGTACACTATTTACATTATTCGGATTATTGTCCTCATCTTTGTCGCCATATTTATTACAACGTTTCAGCCTTTCAGTATCTGTCTATATTTCTGAGATGAGGTATTATGAATACTATTTACATTGTTCGGACTATTGTCCTCATCTTTGTCGCCATATTTATTACAACGTTTCGGCCTGTCAGTATATGTCTATATTTCTGAGATGAGGTATTATGTACATTATTTACATTATTCGGACTATTGTCCTAATCTTTGTCGCCATATTTATTAAACGTTTCGGCCCTTCAGTATCTGTCTATTTTTCTGAGATGAGGTATTATGTATACTATTTACATTATTCAGACTATTGTCCTCATCTTTGTCGCCAGATTTATTACAACGTTTCGGCCGTTGTACGTTCCGGCCTTCTTCAGGTGGTTGGAAGCCATTTCAACTGTAAAATGATGAGACCTTGCCGCCAATCTATAAGGCCGTGGATGTAATACCGTGATAGGGAAGAAACTCTTAGCATAGAACTTACGGTTACATCTAGTCATTCCAACTGTAGAGTGGCAAGACCTCATAAAGTCTAGGTACCATAGCAAAGGGTTGATCTGAACAATTAAACTATTTATAGAAAAGCCACAGAAAGGCAACTTTACGCTGGTGGGAAATTGACTGACACCGAGAGGCTAGATCAAGACCAGAAATATTGCAGATTCTTCTTTGGATTTTATCATGTATCTCTAGTACCGGTCCACGTGTGTCAGGAAAATTCTAATTATCGATGAATGGTAAGACTTAGAGATATGTATGATAGATTCTGGAAAGGAATATTGTTGAGCCCAACAGAGTGAACCATCTTTCTTTGCAGTTGACCTAGCAATGGATTCAATATAATCTTTCCACTTCATATCAGCCGAGAACAGGCAATGTGCAGTAAGAGATTGGGGAATTAAAGAGGCCAGAGTTGAATATCGTCCTTATCTGTTGTTCTAAATGAGTCAGGATCATTCACGACATTATTGATTGCATGGGAAGAAGAAGCAAAGAGACTTGTTAATTGTTGGTTGTGTTACGCTATTTTATTGCTTAGATACGTGTCACGTGATTTGAAGTAACTCACACACACACACACACATGTATATATATATACATATATATATATATATATATATATATATATATATATATATATATATATATATATATATATCAGGAGGTCAGTTGAATCTGCTAACTTAGTTTCACCCTTACGGTATCCTCAGGCGATTTTTATGAAATGACCATCTAACGATCTTTTTTTTTTTTACTTCTTAAAAAAAAATGTAAAGAATGCTTCATTATAATTTTCAAAAATAGATAGACAAACGCAGGAAGAAGAAGAAGAAGAAGAAGAGGAGGAGGAGGAGGAGGAAGTGGAAGAAGGAGGAGGAAGAAGAAAAAGAGGAGGAAGAAGAAGAAGAAGAAAGAAGGAGGAGGAGGAGGAGGAAGAAGAGGGGAAAGAAGAAGAAAGAGGAGGAGGAAGAAGAGAAGAAGAAGAATAAGGTGGAGGAGGAAGAAAAAGAAGAAGAAGGAGAGGAGGAGGAGGAGGATAAAGGAGGAGGAGGAAGAGGCGGAAGAAGAAGAAGAAGAAGAAGAAGAAGAAAGGAGAAGGAGTTTATTATAAATTGAATTATCCAGCCTCATATGCACTTAAGAAAATTTTCTGATATGTAAGCAAGGACTTAAGACTTAGGATTTCATATACTAAAGCCATTTAAAATGCATTCTTATATTGAAATCATTTACAATGTATTCTTCTAGAAAAATCATTCCCAATTCATTCTTATAACAAAATTATTTCCAATGTATTCTTATAATAAAATCATTACCAATTCATTCTTATAATAGAATTATTTCCAATTCATTCTTATAATAAAATAACTTAGCAAGCATTCTTATATTAAAGTCATATAGAATGCATTTTTATAGTAAAATCATTTCCATTGCAATCTTGCAGTAAATTCATTTTCAGTTGCTTCATTTAGCCATATCCCTACAAGAAATATTCGGGATTTATTGACCGAAGAGTTATAAAATATTTTTGTCAAAAGATTTTTTAATTAATCCACGCCTTAATTACCCTAGTATTGTTAGATTGCTTAAATTCATGTGATGTTAAACCTTAGTGAGTTACATAATGTCTATTGTTTGATTTTTTTTTTCGAGTCACCTTATGAAGCCTAACCCTAACCCTCACTACTCAGTACTGTTAATGGTAAATGATGAAATAGCCGTTTCCATGCAAGAAACATTTGACATTCATTGACCGACCGGTTACCATTATTGTCGACCAATGAATTCACATTACAATCTAATAAACTTCTATTAGATTGTAATGTGAATTCATTGGTTTTATAATGTCTTTCAAACAGACATTATGAACAGTTGCGATGAATCATTCAGTAATATCTTCCATTTCGTTATTTAAGACATCTTGCCAACGGACCAATAAAGGTTCAGTGACTCGACGATAGAAATCATTAGGTTTTGACCTGAAAAATATGTATGTATGTCATCTATACATATATGTATGTATATATGCATGCATGTATATATGTATGTATGTATATATGTATGTAGACATATAGAAAGAGAGGAGGGAAAGAGAAAGAGAACTTAGAATGAAAAATAGATAGATATGGACACAGCATTAGATAGATAGATAGATAGATAGATAGATAGATAGATATGAACAGATTAAAATATGTATATATATATATATATATATATATATATATAGAGAGAGAGAGAGAGAGAGAGAGAAATGAAAAGACGGATGTATATATATATATATATATAGATAGATAGATAGATAGATATGAATAGACGGATGTATATATATATATATATATATATATATATATATATATAGAGAGAGAGAGAGAGAGAGAGAAATAGATAGATATGAACAAACGGATGTATATATATATATATATATATATATATATATATATATATATATATTACAATAAACGCAATCAATTTACAAAAATACATGAATTATTCACACAAAACTAATGCAAAGGTTAATGATTTTAAATGGCGAGACATCCATCTCGCAAACAATTCAAATATTACACAAAAACCTCAGATCCGTTATGAATGAATTGATCCTTGTTCATATAAATTTCTGCCGTATTAGTTGTTATTTTTACACAAGCTTTCGTCTGTTCCTACAGACATCTTCAGGTATATAATTTAAATAACTGATCCATGTGCGACTTTTGGTTAATAAGTGCGACATTACTGTAATTATTGAACAATATAGTTCATGCCACTTCGACAGTAAAATTTACCAGTAAAATAATTTGTTCATTACCATATTTGATATAAACGCAAACATTTAAAAAAAGAAAAAATTCAAAATCAAACTTAGCGTTGCTTTGGCGCGTTCAAAAACCAATATCTCATTTTCAATAGCATTTCGGATACAATACACATATATTTTCGATGTCCTCTTATTACTAAGAGAAAAAAAACAAGAACAACATCTATTATATACCTGAAGATGTCTGTAAGAACAGACGAAAGCTTGTGTAAAAATAACAACTAATACGGCAGAAATTTATATGAACAAGGATCAATTCATTCATAACGGATCTGAGGTTTTTGTGTAATATTTGAATTGTTTGCGAGATGGATGTCTCGCCATTTAAAATCATTAACCTTTGCATTAGTTTTGTGTGAATAATTCATGTATATATATATATATATATATATATATATATATATAGAGAGAGAGAGAGATATGAACAGACAGATGTATATATATATATATATATATATATATATACATACACACACACACACACACACATATATATATATATATAGATAGATAGATAGATAGATAGATAGATAGATAGATATGGGGCGATACAGACTGACAGACAAATAGAGCGATATTTCTAAAGTAATCTACGAAACTCATCAAATGCCTCTTACCTACTCTAATCATGATTTATGACAATAGAAAGCTTCGACCATCTTTCTTGCAATTTTCTTCTGAAACGAACTTTTTACAATTTCTGACGGATTTTCCTTCCTGTTGGAGAAGTATAATTCGTAATTTGGAAAAGTCGATCATTAAAATTAAAATGTCTGTTTTTTTTTTAATAATAGTTGCCTTAAAGAACAGTTTTTCTTTCTAAATACACACACACATATATATACATATATAATATATATATATATATATATATATATATATATATATATATATATATATATATATATATATATGTGTGTGTGTGTGTGTGTGTGTGTGTAAATTTTTTTTGCAAATACATGTTTTTTTTTTATTAGTATTTTATTTGGAAACATGATTAATGGATTTCAGAACCTTCTGAAGCGATGTCCTGGCAGGTCAGGACGAGTAGAATCTGATGAATCCTCAAGGACACTCTGACGTACAGCCTCAACTGCTGCGTCAGTGCGAACTGTGTGCTTAGGATCTCTTCCCGGAAGATCGCCGACTGATCCCGTTCTTTTCCAACCCGGCGATTAGACTCCGAACCACTAGGAGAAACTCTGACCTTAAGATGTTGCCGGTATTTTCTCTCGGTTTGAATAATTGATCTCTCAATGAAATAGAAAAAACTCAACCAATTTCGCTCGTTGCTCTATAACCTGTAAAAAATCAAATCAAAAAGTTTGAAAACAAACAAGTTATGACTTTTTCAAACCCTTCAGTTTTTCAGTGGCCACCCTGTGTATACTTATTGAATTCATTTTCTGTCCACATGCAGACCAGACGGGGCACTTGGACGTTCTCTATCGGGTTGCAAGCTTGTCTTGCTAGATTAATTACGACTGAGTAGTGAGTTCGATCCTCGCTGAATACCATATACTTTCAATTCAACCTTTTACCATATTTAACTACGCTTAATAAATCACCATATGTAGGCCCGTCGGCAAAAAGGACAAACAAGTCAATACTTCCAAAAAAAAAAGAAATATATATATATATATATATATATAGTTGTATATTTAGGAAGTAATCCTTCGTTTATGCATGCTTCATTAAAAACGACAGACAAGATACTACGGTTAAGCTTTTTATTTAATTTTTCTTCTGTTCGAACAAGAACTTTCTTTTCCGGACAAAGGGTGTGTAAAAACTGTCCAAATGTTTTATATTTCCGACCGCTTTCGGCTATACATTTAGCCATTATCAAGGATGATTCGATTTTTCAGCTTAATTGAGTGTGTGCGTTGTGTATGTGTCTTAGTGTGTGGTAGGGATGGTTTTAATTTCCGAATACGGTTAGCACATTGTGGCCTTGTTCGTAGTTAATATTGTTAAGACTTGGTTTTTTCTTTTTTATTATTAAAGCTTCCAGTTTTTGCACACTCTTTGTCGAGAAACACAAGAAAAATTAAATAAAAACTTAACTGTAGTACCTTGTCTGTCGTTTTTAATGAAACATTATATATATATATATATATATATATATATATATATATATATATATATATATGGCAATATCTAACAATGTTCATTGATGATTATGCAGCGTTATGCGAGCGAATTTGCAACCAATTTCACACCAAATGAGTCAGACAGACATGTGTTCGTGCTGAAGTGATCTCTCGGACGCAGAAGGAACAATCGCAGCTGCTCCCGGTTTTGCAAGAGCGAGCAAAAATCATAATACACGCAGCTATAAAAGCTCCTACCTCGGTGAAGAGATAGGCAGTCTCTCAGATATCGCAGACGAAAATGTAAGGTCCACGATCGGATGTGGGCGCTGCAGAGCCAGACACACATACACGCACACTTACACTGGCTGACAGTAACTGATAAATTATTGGATTAAAACAAAATGTAATGTTCAGTATGTGAAAGATTCAAGTCCCATGTTATTCATTTAGCCGTCACGACCTATTTCCTTACAATCTGGACGACGCCAGGCTGTCTTCCGATTCTATGACTAACCACAAGTACGAGCAAGTGTCGTTCTTGAAAATATCGACGTGTATTCATTCAATTGATTATCGACGGACGAACAAACTGACAAGCAAAAAAGAGATAAAATGAAATCAAGAAAGTAAGTAAAAGCTAAATGAATGTATGTCCGATGACCGGGAAAAAATAATGAAATAAAAGATCCAGGAAAAAAATAGTACAACGAGAAAACAAAGTAAGCTAAATGGAATAGGTAAAATAAAATGTCAGCCATATTGCAAAGCGAGAAATGGCGGCCAATGTTTCGTTCTTTAGTGACTACTTAATTTGTATTGTTCGACAATGGAAATCAGTGAAACAAAATGCCGGGGAATAAAAAAAAAAATGGGAAAAAATACAAGAGAAAAGAACTTCAGCCAGAAGAGAATATCAGGAAAAAGTGTAAAGATTGCTACGAGTAATCGACTACAAGGGCGATGCAAAAGGTGTGGCGAGCATGCGCAGAACGTTAGAGGCGAGATCATTTCATAAGACAACAGATATGAGTAAAAAAAAAAAAAAGAAGAAAGGAAACAAAAGCATCGACCAGAAGGAAATCGAAAGCAGTTGAGAGGCCGTAAAAGATTGAATGAAAATTTATAAGCAGGAGAGAAAAAAAAAAGAAAATATCTACGTGCATGTTTTTCAAGATACCGAGATTTCAAACGCGAACAGAGAAGAGAACAGACGTGCGAATGATAGAGAGAAAATTTAGAAGACTGAGTAGAGAAATTAATGATGGAAGCGAGAGAAAACAAACACACATGCATATATATATATATATATATATATATATATATATATATATATAAAGAAATATTTCAAACGCGAACTGTGAACAGAAGCCGGAAGATGACGGCGGGAAGGCAACTGAAAGAAACTACAATTGAAACAAAATGACGGTTGAAAGAAGAAAATGAAAATGGCGGTCAAAAAGAGAGCGGGAAAAATGGAAACGCAAGTGACGTGAATAGTAGCGGTAGTGGGGCGAGGGCTGGCGGTTAAAAGCGGGAAACGCTTTCGCCATTTCTACGCCTTTTATTGAACATATGCTGTATTGTATGGGCGAGGCCCGGATCAACGATTACAGAAATGTTCTACCCTTTCTGCTTCAAACACACACAAAGAAAGAGGAAGAAATAGAAAGTTGTACAGAAAGATACCTCACGATTCCTATGTACATCAATAAACCTCATGATGAAAAAATTATTTATCTTACACAATATATTTATATATAATCCCCAACTTCGTCAATGCGTTCAACCCAGAGCTTCTTTATTATATAATGGTGGGGAAATCGGCTTTCTAACCCCCCTCCTGTTGCAGACGCCTACACAGGCACGTGTGTCTTTCTTCGGCACCCAAAGAGTTAAACTGTATTTGCAAGTATACTGAGCAGAACTTAGTTACCGTTTCTGGGAGAAAACGTATAATTCTGTGATCAGTTGTTGCACAAGGACAGTACGCCCAAAGCCTCGGTCACGATGACTTGTGACTTTGTTTTAGCACAACTATCGACGGGCTTCAAACACGTTTATCGACAGGGTTTCGCTCACGGCGACTGAGTTAATCTGCGCTATTGTTTCCAGGAACATCCCAAAGTTACGGTCCTATATGCTGATATATATATATATATATATATATATATATATATATATATATAATAATACCTCTTTCACAAATTGACCATGGTGAAATCTGAACCCCTGTCTCATATATCTTCCTTCTTTTTCTCTCCCCCCACCTTAAATTATGTAAACTCACCAGAAATAATTTTTTTTAGGTACATTTCTCTTGTTTATTTTTTAAATGTTTTTCTTATTTTTTCCCTTTTTCCTTCTTTTCCTCTTTTACTTTTTCCTTCTCTTTTTCTTTCTCTTTTCCTTTTTTCTTTTCTTTCTTTTTTATCCGGGTTTGGTTAATTATTGAATGTATTATTTTTAAATTGTCTAGCTGAATTTATTTATTAAAATGTATCGGTCTGAAGAGACAGGTAATAATTACATTTTTAATGTGATTTTAAATGTTTTTTACTATGAATTTTATTGCTCTGTATACATTATACATTGAGCACTCTTCTTGAACTGACTTTTATATACATATATAATCTTGAATCTGACTTATATATATATATATATATATATATATATATATATATATATATATATATAATCTTTATGAACCCGCAAAATAACACTTTTAAAGTAAAGCAAAATAACAGCGTCTGTTTCTAGCCTTTTTTTTACAAAGGAACTTAGTGACATCTTCTTCTCTCTTAACTTCCTTCTCTCTTTTTCTCTCTATGGGTTTTTTCTTCTCTACCCCTTCGATATCAATATATAACTTCCGTTAAGTTAACCGTTTAAATGTGTCAATATCTGCTAACTGACTCATGTCTTCTCTCTTCCCACTCACTTCCTCACTTCGTTAATTTACATATGTTTAATACGACCCGTCAAAAATGTGTGAATTTTCTTTTCATTTTTTGTTTGGAAGTAAAGTCTGATGATCCGCAGTCCTTTAAAAGGACTGTGGTGAAATAATTTATTACATGGAACCTTAAAGTGGTCTGTTTTTATTTAAATTATATATATATATATATATATATATATATATATATATATATATATATATATATTATAACCTGTCTTCGACTGGGTGTTTCATTACTAGGAATTTTTGCCGTTCAGTTGGAGCAGTTTAAGTTTAAAGTCACCCCACCTATGGCTATGGGCAAATACTAATCATCCAAACTGGGGTCAAAATACTATAAAAGTATAAATATTCTAACTATTTACATTATTCGGACTATTGTCCTCATCTTTGCCGCCATATTTATTACAACGTTTCGGCCGTTGAACGCTCCGGCCTTCTTCAGGTGGTTGGAATGTCGAACTGAAGCCTTTATTATTTATTTTATTTAGATCCAGTCACAGAATCCAAAGAGTGTGAGTTCAATACCCGGTTAAGGCAGTGGAGAACTTGGAGAGGGGAATTAACAGGGGATAACTGATAACTGACATCCATTAAACATGGCACGTGGAACTAGAGCAATCTACCCCGGTGAGCGAAATAAAGGGTTCAGTTCGATATTCCAACCACCTGAAAAAGGCTGGAGCGTACAACGGCCGAAACGTTGTGATAAATATGGCGACAAAGATGACTCCAAATAATATAAATAATGTACATAATAGCTCATCCCAGAAATATAGACAGATACCGAAAGGCCGAAACGTTGTAATAAATATGGTAACAAAGTTGAGGACAATAGTCCGAATAATGTAAATAGTGTATATAATACCTCATCTCGGAAATATAGACAGATACTGAAGAGCAGAAACGTTGTAATAAATATGGCAACAAAGACGAGGACAATAGTCCGAATAATGTAAATAGTGTACATAATACCTCATCTCAGAAATGTAGACATAAACATTTTCATACTAAAAAATACCAGCAATATATTTTCATAATAAAAATAATTATCAGCAATAGGTTTTTGTAAATAAAATAGAAAAATAAAAATTACCGGTATTATATTTAAAAAAAAAAAATGAGATTAAAGCACCCACAAAAATTAAATTTCGACATTAGATAATCCATAAGGTGGTGATATGCCAGTAAACAAACAATTAAAGGAGACCAATGCCGAGTGAAAAACATTACAAAGTTACATACCGGCGATGCTATTTTTGCTGGGAGAAATTTAAGTAGAAGAAAGTAGGAAACGCCTGCTTTGACAATGCGGTTTATTGCGACGGTCCTGATAATTAATACATGCTAAACAGGAAGTGGTCAAAAACGGTGACTAATCCAAAATGTACCGAAATTAAAAATGGATCAAACAAAGCGAAAATAAATCTACAGATGTGCTGCGCCGTGTTAACATAATATTAACAACTAGCAGTAGAGCCCGGCGTTGCCCGGGGATGTAACAGTAAGAGATAGATCAATATCGACCATCATAAAGACTGAAAAATAAAATTGACAAAGATTATTGTTTAAGGTTGACGGACACGCATGTCTTAATTAGTTTTTTTTTTTTTTTACGAATTAGTCAAACTCAAACTCAAACAAAAACATTGTTTTCAATCGTTATGAGTCTAACGATTGAATAGAATTTTTTTATAAACAATTGTCTTGTAAATGGAATTTTTAAAGCGTTCTGAATGTAAAAATAAAGAAAAAAAGTGTGCAAGACAATAAGAAACACTACCTGCCAAAAAAAAATGAAGTTTTGTTGAAATTGGTTGAAAAATGTAGGAAATCCGATCCCATATATAAACGAACACACACACACACAACCTGGGTTTTATAATAAGTATAACTCGATATGAGTTGTCCCCCTTTCATTCTCGCGATAGCGATGCCTCTTAATTGTGTTTTCAAATTGATTTCGTGCAGAAACAATTGTATTTTTCCAATTTTTGGCACTGTCAGAACCACTGCAACGTAATTTTACGTAGTCCTGTGAAGTTTTGTTGAAATCGGTTAAAAAATGTAGGAAATCCGATCCAATATATAAACGAACACACACACACACACACATACACAACCTGGCTTTTATAATAAGTATGATGATGCTTTAGAAATCTCCGTGGTCCTATATTTGAAAATTAACGCATCCATAATTCTGTTTCATTGAAAATGATTCCGCATTTCTCGAAAGACCGAGAAAAAACGAAAATTAGAAAAAGACAAGATTTAACGAACGCGTATGATAATATTTTCACCGCGCCACAAAAAAGAAATGGGGTCTGTGTAAACGTTGTGTATATGCGCATGCGTCAAATAGCGCGGAAACTCAAGGGATATAACTTTCCAGAAGAGACCAATTAGCGACATCAGAGAAGAGAAGAGATATTTAAAGAATGTACGAAACAATTTTTTTTCCTGGTTTTGCTAATCGTATGTAGAGGGCGTTCGTGATTCGACTATTTTCCTGTGCTAAACAGGACGCCTTTGAAATAAATGAGGTCCAATTGAAAGATAAAAGGATATCTGTTGAATTGAACCAAGTTGGGCACAAGGCACAATTCATGGCGCACCGAAGTCGTAAAGTTGAGGGAAATTAGCATAAATATAGCTAACAATATTTGAGGATTAAGAAAATTAATCTGGCAAAAAGCCATAATATTGCTTATTGCACACCGACTGTTGAAATTAGCACGTGTAATCCGCTGTTAAAATTGTTTGTACGTATTAAGATTGGATTTGTCTGGCACAAGGCTATAGTATTATGGCGCTCGGTGAGGATCAAACAAACAATGAACATCGTTAAAAGTCACTGAAGGTAGGGGGTTCCGTGAGAGAGAAAACGAAAAAAAAATCATTTACGCCGTGTCGTGGAGAATGAGGTCTTTCACTCTGCGGCCTCTTTTCAACAATGTACAATATCGCACACACGCTGCTACTCAGCCTCTACTTTTTAACGGCTGAAGTTCCCATTAATTCCAGTCTTTCTTCCCATCCGTTCAGACTTTCATAGCTAGGACTCACCTTGCCGCTTCCACAGAGTCGAATCATCCCAATTACCCACCCCCAAAATAAGAAATTTACAAGCTTTTCCTCCAAGAACGACCACTTTGTGTTTGCCTTCATGAACATTTCTAAGTCGACTTTTTCAAGCCAAGGATTAACTGATAACCTATCCGACATCTTCATAGTCATCAATACCTGCCACCCCCTCTTCCACACATATCACGTTCCACCTTCAGCTGACTCTACCCTTTACATAGAGTGGCTATCGAGCCTTATATTCGGCGAACTTTTGTATTCAAAAATTATAGCGAGCTGTCGAAATTAGTATAATATAAATCTTAGCATGTAAATTATATACAGCGTAACCCGGATATAAGAGACCCGGATATAAGAGATATTTTCTCTGGTCCCAAATTAGAGCCTGTGTTAATGTATATAAAATATACCAAACCCGGATATAAGAGAAACCCGGATATAAGAGACTTCTTCTCCGGTCCCGACAACTCTCTTATATCCGGGTTACACTGTACATATTTCTACGCAATAGGCTTAACTGAGGATACCTTGTTAGTGTAATGGTTAACAAGCTAATCTCTCAGATGAATTACAATTTAGTAATGAGTTCGATCCTCACTGGGTGCCACGTATTTTTTTTTACCTTGTTTCAAATCTAAGCTGAACTTAATATATTGGGATGCACTGTCAATCAAAAGAAGTTCAATGAGAATCGAAAATATCCACAAACATTATAATCATCATTTATGTACCGTGAGCGGGCATGGCTCTCCACAGCTTCCTGTCCCTTATAGCTCTGAGCAACATGTGATTCTTGAACATCACTACTTGTCCCTGCCCTGCCAACCATTCACTTCCTCTTTTTTATTGCATGGCTTTTCATGACTGGAGCGATCATGGCTCTCCACAGCTTCCTATTTTTTGTAGCTCTGAGCAATATGTGATTCTTGAACGTCGCTCCTTGTCCCTGCTCTGCTAACCATTCACTTCCTCTTTTATATTGCATGGTTTTATCATGACTTGAGAGATCATGGCTCTCCACAGCTTCCTACCTTTTCTAGCTCTGGGAAACATGTGATTCTTGTCCCTGCTCTGCTAACCATTCACTTCTTCTTTCAGGTAGCATGCCTTTTCATGACTTGAGTGATCATGGCCATCCACAGCTTCCTATTCCTTGAAGCTCTGAGCAATATTTGATTTTTTTACCATTTTTCTTTGTCCTTACTCTACTGTTTAGTATTATGCGTCTAGGCGTTGCACGACATGGAGGTCGTGGCTCTCCACAACTTCCTTACCTTTGTACCTCTGAGCAAGATGCAATTCCTTACCATCGCTCCTTGTGCCTACTCTGTTAACCATTCACTTCTTTTATGTGACTTGAAGTGATGGATCATGGCCCTCCACAGCTTCTTATTTGTATCTCTGAGCAATATTTGATTCTTTATGCACGTTCGTTGTCCTTTCTCTGCTCTCCATTGAATTCTTTTATGTTATTTGGTTCTTCAAGACCGGCGGTTATGACTCTCCTCAGCTTCCTTCAACATTTGATTCTTTACGATCACCCCTTGTCCTTGCGCTGCGATCCATTCACTTTTGTTATGTGACTTACCTCTTCAGAAAGTGAGCGATCATGGCTCTCCACAGCTTCTTATCATCTGTAACTCTAAACACCATTTAATTCCTTACCATCGTTCCTTCTCTCTGGTCTTCTATCCCTTCACTTTTATGTGACATGACCCTTCAGGACGTGAGCGATCATGTTTCTCCACAGCGTCCTGTCACTTGTAAGCTCTGAGCAATATTTGGTTCTTTATATACCTCCTTGTCTCTGCTTTGATATCCATTCATTTGTTTTATGCGAATTGGTCCTTAAGGACGTAGGTGATTATCGCTCTCCACGGCTTCTTTTCCTTTGTAGCTCCCAACAATATGTGGCTCTTTACCACCCGTTTATTGTTCCTGCTCTGCTATCCATTCGCTTCTTTTATGTGAGTTGAGCGATCGTGGATCTTTACAGCTTCTATTTCCTTGTAGCTCTAAGCAACATTCTTTTTTTTTTTTTTTTTTTGGTCTTAGGAAAATAAAAATGTGGCCTTGTTAGAGCCAGAAATAAAGGGAGGAATTAAGTTAAACAAATATATTAACAGAAACAGTAATACAAACAGATACAAACGAGAATGTTACAGCAAGAATGTTCGGTCCGACTGTCAGAGCTGACTGCTGGAAACTTCCCTCTTTAAAAGGCAGTAACTGCTCATATTTATTGCTGGGATAGTCCATGCATCCGTGGGTAAATTACCATAACATATAGTAAAACATTTCTAATGAATTCTTATAGTAAAATCATTTCCAAGGCGTTCTTATAGTAAAATCATTTCTAATGAATTCTTATAGTAAAATCATTACCAATGCATTCTTATAATAAAATCATTTCCAATGCATTCTTATAGTAAAATCATTTCTAATTCATTTTTATAATAAAATCATTTCCAATGCATTCTTATAGTAAAATCATTTCCAATGCATTCTTATAATAAAATCATTCCCAATGCATTCTTATAATAAAATCATTCCCAATGCATTCTTATAATAAAATCATTACCAATGCATTCTTATAGTAAAATCATTTCCAATGCATTCTTATAGTAAAATCCTTTCCAATGCATTCTTATAGTAAAATCATTACCAATGCATTCTTATAGTAAAATCATTACCAATGCATTCTTATAATAAAATCATTCCAATGCATTCTTATAATAAAATCATTTCCAATACATTCTTATAGTAAAATTTCTGCATTCTTATAGTGCATTCTTATAGTAAAATCATTACCAATGCATTCTTATAGTAAAATCATTACCAATGCATTCTGATAATAAAATCATTTCCAATACATACTTATAGTAAAATCCTTTCCAGTGCATTCTTATAGTAAAATCTTTACCAATGCATTCTTATAATAAAATCATTTCCAATGCATTCTTATAATAAAATCATTTGAAATGCATTCTTATAATAAAATCATTCCCAATGCATTCTTATAATAAAATCATTTCCAATACATTCTTATAGTAAAATCATTTCCAATGCATTCTTATAGTAAAATCATTTCCAATGCATTCTTATAATAAAAATCATTTCCAATGCATTCTTTTACTAAAATAATTTCCAATGCATTTTTATAGTAAAATCATTACCAATGCATTCTTATAATAAAATCATTTCCAATGCATTCTTATAATAAAATCATTCCCAATGCATTCTTATAATAAAATCATTCCCAATGCATTCTTATAATAAAAATCATTTCCAATGCATTCTTTTACTAAAATAATTTCCAATGTATTCTTATACTAAAAGTTACTTCCTACAAAGACAGGAAGTTGTCTTCAGCCATAATCTCCCAAATCCTGAAATGACGGCATATTAAAAATTACTCTGATACGATGTGAATAATGGATCTAAAAAGGGATGTAAGTAAAAATGCATGTGGGGTATGCGAAGGTGCTATATAGCAATAAAGTGTCGCTGCCGACACTGGGGTTTGAACACAGATCACCAGACAGCAAACACAGGCGATCCTATTTTGAATAACTTGATGGTAAAGGAAATGTACATATGGGAAATAGCGTAGCGTTTAAGTGATCACTATTTCTACACTATCCTCTGTTCCTATACTATTCCTCTATACTGATCACTATTCGGATCACTATTCGATGGTTACTATTCGAGCGAGTATTATCGAGCAAGTACTATTAGTGCGAGTGTTATTCGAAGGCGTCTGACACCAGTATTGTTCAACGGCGTTACTATAGTTGTATCTGCAATTACAAAGTCTCTACTGCAACGAGCATTACGAAAGTGACAACGAATATTCGTTGACATTACAAAAGTGTCAACGAGTGTTCGCTGACACCACAAAATTATGTTAAACATTTCCTTGTCAAATGGACATTTGTCATATGGGAATGCATGATACACCCGTCGGCGATCATGTATCTTTCGATACATGACTGACGAGGCAGTTTTTTTCCCGCAGTAGGTTCCCATTTCTTTCTGCGGTAGACCAGTTGCCATCCAAGTCTACAGAACCCGGTCTTGTCCTGCTATTTATCCATAGCCGGAAGTGGGGAGAAGAGAAGAGAAGAGGATGCATACCTTTACCAAAGGTATTAGCACGTAAGTGAATGTAATGGATTCGACTGGAATTCGAACTCGGCTCTCCGATTCCTCAACCCGAGCCGCCATCTATTACTCCACCGTGCCTCCAAAGTACTATTAGTACGAGAGATTATTCGAAGGCGTCTGACACCAGTATTGTTCAACGGCATTACTATAGTTGTATCTGCGATTACAAAGCCTCTACTACAACGAGCATTACGAAAGTGACAACGAGTATTCGTTGACATTACAAAAGAAAGGAAAACAGTGAAGAGAAATTATAAATTGCAAAAGAGGAAAAGGCGGTAACCATTACATGTAATAGGAAAAACTATTAAAAAAACAAAAGAAATGAAGAACCCATTCGTTTATTCGTGCAGGCGGATAAAATGAAAGTGAAAGTGAAATTGAAAATGAAAGTAAAAGTGAAAGTGAAAATGAAAGTGAAAGAAACTGTGAGTCGGATATGGAGTGAATTGATTGCGCTAAAGATTATTAAAAGGATAAATAGAGTTGGGAGGAAATATAACAAGGAGAGAGTTTAAAGGGGGGAATCAGAGAACTGAATAGAAATAAAGAAACGGGTCTCTTCGTGGAAAGCAAAATAACTATTGTTAGATGTTCATTTCCTCGGGCTTTTCTTGTAAATTTAACAGCGGGAAAACTTGAGAGAGAAAAAAATGCACGTGTCGACCTGGAGATAAATGTCGCTCATTGACTACAAGGTGGCGCTCGCATACATCTCCGTTCGCAGTGGTCCGACATATTGTTTCTCAGACGTGACCTAGCTTGGCGCTACCAGGTTTATGTTAATTCGTGGGTCGGAATAACCTAAGAAAGAAAGAAAGAAAGAAATGAAGAATAGATAGATAGATAGCTAGATAGATATAAACAGACTGAGATAGGTAGATAGATAGTCATGATTCCGTCGACAGTTTATTTGAGAATTTAAAAAAGTTAACCACTCAAAGGAGGAAAGAAAGAAAGAAAGAAATAAAGAAGGAAAGGTAAGAAAGAAAGAATTTCTTAAAATAAAATTGAAATCAGAAGAAAGAAAATTGATATAAATTAAATTTTTATGTCTTGAGGATCTTGCATAGGAATAGAAAAACACCAAAAAGTACATTACAAAAATATTTGATGATGAGAAATTACAAGAAAAATTGAGACAAATGAAGAAGAAGAAGAAGAAACTGAGACAAATGGAAAAAGAAAAACTGAAACAAATGAATGGGAGATTGAGATAAATGAAAAAGAAGAAAGAAAGAAAGAAAGAAAGAAAGAAGGAAAGAAAGAAAGAAAGAAAGAAATTGAAAAAAGAAGAAATTGATAAAAATGAAGAAAGAAAGAAAGAAAGAAAGAAAGAAAGAAAGAAAGAAAGAAAATGAGACAAATGGAAAAAAGAAAGAAATTGATAAAAATGAAGAGGAGAAAGAAAGAAAGAAAGAAAGAAAAGAAAGAAAGAAAGAAAGAAAGAAAGAAAGACAAATGGAAAAAAGAAAGAAATTGTTAAAAATGAAGAGGCGGAAAAAGAAAGAAAGAAAGAAAGAAAGACAAATGGAAAAAAGAAAGAAATTGATAAAAATGAAGAGGAGAAAGAAAGAAAGAAAGAAAGAAAGAAAATGAGACAAATGGAAAAAAGAAAGAAATTGATAAAAATGAAGAAAGAAAGAAAGAAAGAAAGAAAGAAAGAAATTGTGACAAGTGGAAAAAAGAAAGAAATTGATAAAAATGAAGAAGAAATTGGCATGAAAGAAGAAAAAGAACTAATCGAAAATCAAACTTACTATTCTCCCAAATTAGTTTGCGGACTAATTTACGGTAGGCGCATAGTTGTTTTTTTTGTTTTGTTTTATTTTTTAATTCAAGGACAAATTTGTTAACCGTTATCGAACTAACCTTAGTCTGGCACAAGATCGAAATATTTAAGCATCACGTCATCCCAAATTTGTTTGCGGAACAATTATGCTACGGTAGGGTTCTAAATACCTATATAAAAACCTAAGCTGAGTGTGGCACAAAGACCGATATTTTTGAGCATCCGGTGACCATCAAACGTATAATTCTTGCGTGCTGGTCGGCCATACTGTTTGGCTAACAATCGTTTTACAGTCGTCGTCCAGAGATTATAACTGCACGATGTTATTTTTTTTTTTTTCGTTTTGTCTGAAAATAAAGATGAGCAAAATAAAAAGAAGAAAACGACTTTTTAAATGATTTGAAAATAACTCAGCTGAAATTCTTCTCGCCTTCAATGTAATCCCCACCAGCGGCATTTTTCCAGGGTCATTGCGTTTTGCCCTTCTTCTTTTTTCACCATTACAGGAAAAATGAATAGCAATTACCATCAATTATTAACCTTATTATAATCCTATTGATTTCCAGAATTATTAGTTTGCCAGGATTTTTAAAGGTGTTATTCAAGCTTTTCTCAAATCGTTTTTCTTCGGCTTTTTCAGTTAACTTAAGTAATTACGCGTCTTTATTTTCCAACTCAGAACATTTTTTTACCATGTTCTCATTTCTTTTCATTTATCACGTCTTCTACTTTTTTCTACTTCCTGTTCTTCTTCCACTTCTACTTCATTTGTCCCAATTGCGTCTTCTTCCTCTTTTTCATTTGTCTCAATTTCTTCTTCTTCTTCCTCTTCTTCTTCATTTGCCTCAATTTCTCCTTTCTTTCCTTCCCTATTTTTCTCAATTTCTTCTTCTTCCTCTTCTTCATTTGTCTCACTTTCTTCTTCCTCTTCTTCTTCTTCTTCTTCTTCTTCTTCATTTGTCTCAATTTCTTCTTCTTCCTCTTTTTCATTTGTCTCACTTTCTTTTTCCTCTTCTTCTTCATTTGTCTCAATTTCTTCTTCCTCTTCTTTTTCTTCATTTGTCTCAATTTATTCTCCTCCTTTGTCATTTTCCCAAATTACTTCTTCATTTTTCCCAATTTCTTCTTCTTTTCCATTAAGAACCAGGTGAGTATCAAACGTACTACGCTCCCATTGTGCTAACGTAGACGTAGAATGTTTTACATTTAAGCGTGGTAGCACCTGTTAGGGCCCCAACTATGGGTAAATAGTTAATCCCCAAACTGACATCAAAACACTATCAAAGTATAAACAATAGATTTTTATAGTAAAAATACCAGCAATACATTTTGCGGTAAACATATTAACAGCAATACATTTAAGTCTCGACAAAAAAACTCTTTACAAAAATACGTGAATGAAATCTGATCTCCTACAAATTGATTTCTTACAAAGAATATATATTCTATTCATACGAACCTATCCTAAAATTTTGTCGGTATTAAATAACTTATTGAGGTTGATATGCCGCGAAACAAAATTAACAATCAACAAACTAATGCAGCTCTCACTAATGCGCCAATGAAACCTCATTTCTTACAAAGAATATATATTATACTTACACGAATCTATCCTAAAAATCTTGTTGGCATTAAATAACCCATAGAGATCTTGATATGCTAAGCAAAATCAGCAAACAATCAACAAACTAATGCAGCCCTCTTTACAAAAATATGTCAATGAAAACTGACCTACAAATTGATTTCTTACAAAGAATACATATTCTATTCATACGAACCTATCCTAAAAATCTTGTCGGCATTAAATAACCCATTGAGGTTGATATGCCGTAAAACAAAATAAACCAAACAAATCTAAACCAAAGAATACATATTCTATTCATACGAATCTATCCTAAAAATCTTGTCGGCATTAAATAACCCATTGAGGTTGATATGCCGTAAAACAAAATAAACCAAACCAATCTAAACCAAAGAATACATATTCTATTCATACGAACCTATCCTAAAAATGTTGTCGGCATTAAATAAACCATTGAGGTTGATTTTTTTACAAGCATTTCGATTGTAGTCAGTTTCTCACAGTCGTAATGTAGCTGACCGGTGTCTTTTGCATAAATAAAGTAAAAAATTATCGGCTCTCATAATACAGATATGTTATGACGAAAGTACGGATAATTTTTTTTACTTACACTAGTTCTTTTATGGCACTTGTTCGGATGAACTCTTCAACATGGTACCTAGACTATATGAATTCAAGCGACAAGGTCTCCTCAATTCCCAGCTCAATTTGCTAGTTGTAACCGTAAGTTCTATGCTAACAGTTTCTTCTCTCTCACGGTATTACATTCACGGCCTTATAGATTGGCGACAAGGTCTCATCATTTTACAGTTGAAATGGCTAGATGTAACCGTAAGTTCTATGCTAACAGTTTCTTCTCTCACTGTATTACATCAACGGCCTTATAGATTGGCGACAAGGTCTCATCATTTTACAGTTGAAATGGCTAGATGTAACCGTAAGTTCTATGCTAACAGTTTCTTCTCTCTTATGGTATTACATCAACGGCTTTATAGATTGGCGACAAGGTCTCATCATTTTACAGTTGAAATGGCTAGATGTAACCGTAAGTTCTATGCTAACAGTTTCTTCTCTCTTATGGTATTACATCCACGGCCTTATAGATTGGCGTCAAGGCCTCATCATTTTACAGTTGAAATGGCTAGATGTAACCGTAAGTTCTATGCTAACAGTTTCTTCTCTCTCAGGGTATTACATCCACGGCCTTATAGATTGGCGCCAAGGCCTCATCATTTTACAGTTGAAATGGCTAGATGTAACCGTAAGTTCTATGCTTACAGTTTCTTCTCTCTCAGGGTATTACATCCACGGCCTTATAGATTGGCGCCAAGGTCTCATCATTTTACAGTTGAAATGGCTAGATGTAACCGTAAGTTCTATGCTAACAGTTTCTTCTCTCTCAGGGTATTACATCCACGGCCTTATAGATTGGCGGCAAGGTCTCATCATTTTACAGTTGAAATGGCTAGATGTAACCGTAAGTTCTATGCTAACAGTTTCTTCTCTCTCACAGTATTACATCCACGGCCTTATAGCTTGGCGGCAAGGTATCATCATTTACAGTTGAATTGCCTCGATGCAACCGTTTATTCTATGCTAACAGTTTTCTCGCACTTCTCGCTTGTGGAACTCCCATACGGTTCCATACTTTCCAGCAAATTTTGATCTTCTAAAAATTAAATGTAATGTCAATCGTTATCTACTGTCTTCTTAATTCCTGTTTGTTTATTGTTCTCACTCCTTAGTAATATTTTACTTTCACACTCAGTGACACCAATTTCTATATTATCTTGCTTGGGGTTGAAAAGGTTAAAACATCTATCTATCTATCTATCTATCTATATATATATATATATATATATATATATATATATATATATATATATATATATATGTTTCTATGCTAACAGTTTCTTTTCTCGTGCTTCTCGTGGAACTCCGTTCTGGCTCCATGCTTTCCAGCCAACTTTAAAGAGACAAATATTACTTAGATCTGTAAAGTAGAGGAAGCTGAGGAGAGTCACGACCACCCTACTTGACAACTTTATGTAAATGAATGACCGAATAGGGTTTGTGGATAGTAACAAAGCAAATAATGCTTAAAGCTACAGAATAAAGGATGTTGTGGAGAGCCATGATGAACCTAATTGACGTGCTTGTTCAACCTACATAAAGAGCCATTGCAAATGAATAGCACAGTACGGTTTGGAAGGGAGAGTAAGGAGATAAATAATGATTAGAGCTACAACGTATAGGAAGTTGTGGAGAGCTATGTTCAACCTATTTAACGAGTTTGTGAATGCATGTCCGCGCAGGGTTTAAGAGGAGACAAATATTACTTAGAGTTACAAAGTATAGGAAGTTGTGGAGAGTCTTAATCAACCTACATGACGATCTTGTGTAAATGAATTGCAGAGTACCGTTTGGGAGGGAGAGTAAGCGGACAATTAATACTTAGATCCACGCAGTATAGGAAGTTGTAGAGAGCCATGTTCAACACAATTAACGAGCTTGTTTAAATGAATGACAGAGTAGGAATTGAGAGGAGTAATGAGACAACTTCTTATAGGAAGACGTGGAGATCCATGATCAACCTACATAGTAAACTTGTGTAAATGAATTGCAGATTAGGGTTTCGGAGGTATAGTAAGGAGAGAGTTCTTAGAGTTAACAATATAGGAAGATGTGGAGATCCATGATCTACCTAATTAACGATCTTATGTAAATGAACGGCAGAGTAGGTTTTGGGAAGAATAGTAAGGAAACAACTATTTTTTTAGAGCTACAAAGTATAGGAAGTTGTTGAGAGCCATGATCTACCTATTTAAAAAGCTGAAGGGACACTACACATAGAAGAAGAGGTGGAAGAAGAAGAATGAGAAGAAAAGAAGGAGAGAAGAGGTGGAAGAAGAAAAAGAGAAGATAGGAAGGAGAAAAGGGATAAACTTTAACTATGACGACGACGACGACAAGGAAGAAGAAGAAGAAGTATAAGATAAAGAAGAAGAAGAAGAAGAAGAAGAAGTATAAGATAAAGAAGAAGACGAAGAAGAAAAGGTGGAAGAAGAAGAAGTATAAGATAAAGAATAAGTATAAGAAGGAGAAGAAGAAGAAAAATTGGAAGAAGAAGAAGAAGAAGAAGAAGAAGAAGAAGAAGAAGAAGAAGAAGAAAGATAAAAGAATAAGAAAAAGAATTGAAGGAGGAAGAAGAAGAAGAAGAAGAAGAAGAAGAAGAAAAGATGAAATGAAAAGAAAAGAATTGGAAGAAGAGGTGAAAGAAGAAGAGAAAAAGATGATAAAATGAAGAAGAAGAAGAAAAAGAAGATGAAGAAGAAGAAGGAAAAGAAGA